TAGGCAATGACGAAAAATCGTGACCTCGTTTATCTTTATAGGCTTTAAGCCCGGGATTGAAATATTGAAATCCACACAACAAATCAAGTAGCCCAAATCTTATTGGGTATTTAGAGGAAATCATCTCATTGGGCTAAGTGCTCAATACCCAATAAGTAGAGATAATTTTGAATTGGGAACTATATCTCTTATCTTCACGTGGAGGTTAAATTGTTATGATATTCTTATCATTTGTGACATTTTAGATCTTCTTGAACTCTATCTTGTAGAGAAATCTAGGAAATTTGTTTAACTTTTTGCCTATAAATTGAAGCTTCTCGACTTCAATTATTCACACCAAAAAGTTCTCTGCTTTGTGCCTTTGAGAAGACAAAAATCGATTTTTGCTTTGTGCTAAAACCTCTTCTTGCTTTGTGAAATCCAGCTTCTGTTCTTCAAGCCTTGGTGTGACCAAGTGATTCTCCAAATTGGTGTTACCTTTGTGGTGTTGGATTAAGATTTCCGAGCCTAAGAAAAAGGGGAATTAATTGTTCTTGAATTTTAGTTTCTTCATTTGATTTCTTTTGATTATTGTCATTACTTTCATAGCATATTCTTTGACTTGTTCAACAGTAGGTGTAATTTGACTCACAAGTTACAGTAGTCATTAGAGATTCGTAACCACCAATTTAATTGAAAATTAACTAGAACACTGAAATCAAAATTGTTGTTATATCTCATAATTTATTCCAATTCAATGAAAAATTAACTAGAGAATTTGAAATCAAAATTTTTGTTACATGTCATTCCCCATTTAATTTATTTTTTTCAACACATTTATGGAGTAAGTTACAAAGTAGTAAAAGGAGTAAACCGTAGGAAAATACATGAAAATACCCAAAATTAAAGGATAGCCTTTCCAAAATAGTCTTTGACCATTTTAAATTTTGAAAGTTCCTAAAATACCCTCTATATAAAAAATTTCAAAAAATCATTCTAATATAAAAAAATATTTCGTTTTGGTGCTTAAAAATTTGATTTGATTCATAATTTTTCGATTTGATTAATTTGTTTATGTTTTGGTTTTACACAACCCCCTTTAATGGTATCAGAGTCATAGAGATCATGGAAATTGAAAACACTGAGAATTTAGAAACTGAAATATATGAAGAAATAGAAGAATATGCTCTAAAAGGAAAATTTGATTGGGAAAAATTTAGAAAAATCAATAAAGTAGAATTAAATCTTGAACCACCACGAGAAAAAAATTTATTTAATATTTTAGGATCAGCCTTTAAACGAAAGAAGTTAGTCATTAATGAATATCATGAAATAGAAAAAGC